CTGCAAGCTGCCTTGAGCTGCTCTTAGTGTTTCTTTCTTCTCTAGGCTTTGTGAGCTACGACAACCCAGTGTCATCACAGGCAGCCATCCAGGCAATGAATGGTTTCCAGATTGGTATGAAAAGGCTGAAGGTGCAGCTGAAGCGCTCAAAGAATGACAGCAAGCCCTACTGAAGGAGCTGAGACACTACAGGCTTAGTTAGGCAGGGTGGTGTTATGGTAAGTGTAGTGTGAATAACCAGCTGAGACTGATGCACTCAGAAACTTGTCTGTGTGCTACAGGGCTGCTTCACTGCTCCTCGTGGTCATTAGAAAACATGTCAGGACAAAGACAGACGTGAAGCTACATGACAAGTTTTGACACTAGCCTGGATTCTCCCTATGTTCTTTTGTGGTGTATGCACTTTTTCTTTTTAACAAAAAAGAGAAGCAGTTGTGTTAGTTTGCTGTGGTAGAAAGTAACACATATGGGTCATTTGTCAAGAAATGTTGCATGCTGACTATCAGATGCCAAATCTCTCTGTTGCCACTTCCTGTTCACCTTCTTCCTCTTTGGCACATTTAATGTTAAAAACCAGGCAGCAAATGGGAAAGACAAATCTCTATTTGATGTGGTTTTCCCTGCTATCGCTTGAAATGGAGACCAAATAGTGATAGACACCTGTATTGTTTATCAGACTTATTTGTCAGGGTAGGTACAGAAGATCAGATTGTCAAGGTGGAGCACCACCAGTACGTGCAACTGGCATTTGGACTTAAGTGTTTTCGCATGTGTATGCGTGTGTGCACGTTAAATCACTGATTTCTGCAAAAGTTAACAAGCCTGTTGTTGTTCTACCCTTTTCTCTGGCATTTTGAAAGAGTACCTGTGATTTTTGTGCGCTGGCAAGACTGTATTCCGTTTTAGCATTACTTTTAATCGAGTCACTTTCATGTTGGATTATATTAAAACTGTTGCTATTTGTCAATAGCAACAGTTTTATGGTGAACACTAATTGAGAGGCCTCAGGGGGTGAGTGTAGCGTAGTGTAGAAACCATGACCAATTATACTTGATATGGAATTATACTTCATGTATAATCAGTACATTTAATAAAACATGCAGTTGAGATGTAGATCAACCTGGATGAAACATCAGGGACTGAGCTGATGTGATCTATGAAGCTTAACTGTCAACTTTAACAAGCAATAACCCCAACTTTCACAATAAATCCAAAGTTGAATGACTTCTTTCAGTTGCTCTGTGCAATGTGAACATGATGGTTTTCATTACTACATTTTACTGTTTTAGTTTAGTTTTTCACCAGCCCTCCCTTTTCATGATAGCTATCAGCTAGCTGACCTCAAGGGCAGCTCTCTGAACTGCCAGGAAATTATGTTGTGTTTTTGTTTTTTGCATGTTTCGTCTTACAAAGAGCTAGGAACGAAGATAAATGTTGAGATATATATTTTAATCGTAATGCTTTTTCTATTTTCATAGAGATTTTATACTTTCTGTAAGTCTTGGGGAATTATTATTGTCTAAATATTTATCTGATTAGAAATTATGAAGAAAATGTGAATCTGCCACCTCACTTCATCTCTTGATGTGTGTCGTAGACTTGCCTGTTGAACGTTGTTTCCTTTTGCTGATGTGTATTACATGACATTGCGGCACGAGCTGTATATGAAGGATCCATCCGATACTTTTGCTAGAATATTAATAATAATTTAAAAATAACACCAAGGATACGTTCAAAACTGAATTATTTGCAGAGGGGCTACCATGGGGAGTATTAATACATCCAGGGTACCCACGTATTTCATCAGTGTTTAAAGTCTTTCAAGACAAGGAAGTTCCATATTAAAGGAAAAACATTTGTTTAGCATAGCTTGATCAGCTTTTCTGCTACAAGTTACGTCCTAGAGCAGGGGTAGGGAACTCCAGGCCTCGAGAGCCGGTGTTCTGCAGGTCTAGGTTCCCTACCCCTGCCCTAGAGAGTAACTGTTTGGGCACTTCCACATCTTTGTGTTCCCTGGGCTCTGTCCTTTAGGGCTGTCATGTACTAATTGGACTAGTTATATATTATATTACTGAGTTCTCAAATGAAAGGCTAAGACTTGCATTTTAAAGTCATGCCTATTATTTGTAAATAATAAGGCAGAGAGCCTGAGGGACATGAGTATGTGTTATTGTCAAAATACAAATCTATAATAAAAGTACATTGATGTATTGTATTCATTTACATGGTGGCAGTTAACTATGTATTGAGAATGTAACCTTATAAAAGAACATGAGTTAGTGCACTAGTATTTACCGTTTCACTGGACGTGCCTCATTTCACTCCATTTTTCGTCCCCATTCGTTTAGCTCTTTGGTCTTAAAAGCATCTATCTGAATGTGTCCTTTGAGGAGATGGCCTTTAACGTATGAGAGATCAGACCTCACACTATGTGATAATACTCTGGGCTCTCAGTCATTAATTGAAAAAAAAAAATTTTATTTAAAAAATTAAAATCACCTGCCAAACATTGTCTAGGTTGCCCTTGTGCTGCTAAAACAGCTCTGGTGCATTTGAGGATACAGGACCTCTACAGGTTTTAGCCTGT